AAGTTTATACCTGCACTGGGACAAACAAGGAAGGGCTACGAGTTTGGAATATTTCTCCCTTCAAACCGAAACTAAGAAAAACACTGTGCAGTGGTCGTGGCAAGTTCTCCCCGTGAACGCCGGGTCCAGACAGCGGGCACAGAAGGCAGGGCTTCCCTCACACCCCAACCTGAGGCCAGCTCCTGGGCAGCCCCAGCAGACGGAGCCTCAGGGAGCAGGGCGTTTGTGACTAAACCAAAGGGCTATCTGGAGGCTGTGACCCTACGTTCTTCTCTTACACAGGGACTCGGACAGGGGAACTTACTGAGAGGTCAACAACAGTCTTGACGGCCTTTTCTTTTCTCTTGAGGAAGTCATCATCCTGTAAGACAAAACAAGGAATAAACAAATCTTGTACGAAGACTGAAACGCACTGGACTGCTCAGACGTCTGCCTCTAAACCGACTTCCCGTCACTACCTCACCTGAACCAGTCTCAGTTTTCTAACAAACTGGAATACATTCTGCACAGGAAAAAGCTACCGCCTCTGCAGCTGGCTCCAAAACAGAGCTCTATAGTCAGAGAGAAAAACGGGGACCACTGAGTGCAGTGGTGACGACAAGTATTCTCATTAGAAATCCTTACGAGCGCGGAAGCCTCAGGCAAGTTACCTAGCCTCTGAGCCTCAGTCTCTCCATCTGTAAAACAGGGACAGAAACACCTATCTCAGGGGGCCGTCACGAGGATAAAGAGTAGAAGGCAGGTGATGTGCTGGGGCTAGAATGTAGTAAGCATTTCATAGTGATGAGCTATTATTGTTGTTTTGATTACCTTTCAACTGTTCCTCTAAGAATGTTCTAGGCAAGTGGTCTCTTGAGAAGCTTTATATGACTATACAAAAATATACTCATGTTCCTGTAATTTAATAAAAGTTCTGGATCAAGTACCAAAACTGACAGAAAAGGACAAAACTCTAGGGCTTTCCACTCAGTGCCCATTTAAAGAGGCAGTTCTAGAGACCCAGGAGGCCCAGTCTCAGTGCTGCCCAGGCAGAGGCAGACATGCCACACAGGGGGTGGGAGCGCAGGGCAGCCTGCACTCACTCTGCTCCTTCTAAGTGTGCACCCATGCTCTCAGCTGGACAAGAAAAGAAAGTGAGAACACTGACCTCAGGGAGACTGTAGGCCTTCTGGAACTGGGACACAGAGTAGGAGCGGATGTAGTCACCCATCTCTTCTTTTGTTTCTATAGCTCGCTTCACCAGCCACTGCAGAAGAAAGTTAGGAAACGTGAGCCGATGGGGTGAAACACCACTGCGGTGAAGGCCAACTCAGAGACGGCTCCACTCGTGAACCCAAATCACTGTCCTTGAACTGACCAAGTGACGACAAGCTATCAACACACACTGTCCTAATGGAAAAGCAACTGGCTTAGCGTCTGAGATGCTAAGATCCAGTGGGACCTAGAGCTGAGCAGCTGTGCAGGAGGAGCCTCACTTCAGAGCCTCAGGCCTCAGTTTCCCTCTCCATGTAAAGTGAAACTGAGAACGTCAGTTCCTTTCACCTCACAGAGCTACTGTGGGAGCAAATGAAACCACATGTACTAGAGTGCTTTGTAAATACCCGAAACATAACACAAATGCAGCTATCCCCACAACCTCCTGGTTATAGCGATCGATCTCAACGTCATTCTTTTTCCTGCTTCTTGCACCACAGACCAGAGAAAGGGGAAGAACCAGAGAGAACACCTAGTATAACCCTGAACTGACAGATGAAAAAACATCCCCAAAATATTCAGATGTGAGAACAGGGTGTACTGAGTACACAGCCTTGGGCTTCGGGTTAGCTTGGCACTCACAACATTCTCTCTCTCAGTCCACACAATGCTACAAGGTGGCTGGTACTGGCCGCGATGACAGAACCTGAAGCTCAGAGAGACTACGTAATTTGCCCATTGATCCACAGCTAGCAAACCACAAAGCTGGGCGTCACAACTCACAGGCTCTTCCACACCAAAAGGCTGGACATATGGGCTTCATTAAATGTTTCCCAGCTCTTTTGGGCTGATATGCAAAAGGAGGTGTTTCTCCCTACCTAAAACTCCAGTTCATTAAAACACACACATGCACACACCCACACCCCATAACCTGTGGAAGATTCCGGTGCTCTGAGGGTAAGAACGCAAAGTCAAATAAGAGCCTTTGTTGTCCTCCCCTGGCTCTTCATTCAATTCCTGTACTACTGAAGAGCATTATGGAGGGGGTGCCATCTGTCAGGCTTGCCATTCTCTCTCCAGAGAGAGCCACTACATCTCCAAAGCAGTTTTTGGACAGTAGTTGTGTTTCCCCAAGAGCACAGCCACACGTGGCAAGGTTTAGCTGCCTAGGAAAGTAGACACGTGGCATGCTGCATGGTGCTCCCACAGGGACAGGAAGAAATGCTTGATCATGGAGGGCAGCCAGCTCCAGGAAAGGACACGTTTAGGAAGTAGCTGCCCAGGATAGGGGCGGCTGAGAATATCTATATAAGGAACATTCTTTTGTTGTCAGCATCTTCCATTTATTTCCATCACTCCACTCCACCCCATCTCCAAACAACCACCTCAGGCATGGACAAAGCCAGAAGCAGGGGCAGAGGATGAGACCACACTCAGAACTACGGTAGCTCCTAACTTGCACCCCCACCCCAGCACCACAGCCCCAGACAACTAAGGAGGCTGACACTTGCTCAAGCCAATTTGTCTCTGCTTTGCTTTGGATCCAGAGATCCAGTTTCTGGCCTTTCATATTGTTTCCTTTTCCATTAATCAGATCTACCCAGAATTATCACTTGGTGGGATGCTGGAGAGTGTGATCAGATAAGGAAGGCAAAGCATGTTGAGTCATAGGATTCCCACAGACAATCCAATACTGTTTTGGAGTTCCCAGCATGATGGGCTGTGGAGGGAACCTCTTGGACAGCCAAGCTCTGCCACAGCTCCCTGGCATTCGAGAAAAATAGCTACCCTCACAGGATACACATCCCACATGGGAGAAAAAGATGTGACCTAGAATACCAATGGCTGGAAGTTAGACCCGTTTTTCTCCCGGCTGGCATTCAGAGTGTGTTACTATAGCTTTGTAAACGGTGTGAACATGGGGGATGAGTCTCGAGCCCGGCACAAGACGACAAGTTCAATGGATCCCAACTGCTGGTCCGTGACTATCCTTGCACTGGTCTCCAGCAAAACAGGAAAAAACTAGAGGCATGTGGTAAGCTTTTCAGGATGCTAAATGTATTCAATTTGAAGGACTGTCCTTTATTTTAAGATTGGGAGTTAAATGGCTTTTTAGGAAATGATAGAGAAACTAAGAGCAGTTACTTTTAAAAAGGCCCTTGCCTGGCAAAAGACAGATGGCAACCGTAGGTCAACCTCCATTTTTGCTTTAAAATTTTACTGGTCCATGACATTAAGAAATCTGGTAACCAGCAGCCTAGGCTCTCACATCCAGACAGGAAGGCCCCCAGCATTCAACTCACAACACGGAACATTCACAGACACTCAAAATGCCCAAACCAAATGCAGAAGATCACTTCCTTTTCACCCTCTCCTCATATCTAGACTAGATTCTTTGCCCTCAAAGTTCTAGCATGGGGCTGAGGAAGGTCTAATCACTAGAGATCCAGGCTTTGGGGGAAAAGGCAACAACTTCACAGAATGACAGTGTTGGAGGTTTTAGGAATAACACAGGGGCCCTACTTCCTAGTTTCACAAAAAGGATCAGGTACCGTCCCTCTGCATCAGACAAAAAGTCTAACAAAGACACAAATCAAATTCTGAGTTAAAGTCTGGAAATATTTTGCTGTGTACACAAACAACTTCTGGGATCCTTTGTTCCTTTGGTTTGTCGTTTTCTAGAGCTCATCCCATACCATAGTAGGCAAATCATTGGCGCAGGAGTCTGGAGCCCAGAAGTTTAGTACTGGCTCAGTTACTGATAAGGAAGAAGGATGAGATTAACATTATTGAGGGCCTGTGCCGGGTTGACCTCTTTCGGCCTTTGGCTCTTTGTCTGTAAAGTCAAGAGTTTAGGCTAGCATGAGTTGTTCCTAACCAGAGATGTCCAGGAGTTACTTGAGTGGTTTGGTTTGAGATTTTTGTTTGTTAAAATGTTGAGGCCCAGCACCAGACGTGCTCAATCAGAATGGCAAAGGCTCTGGCAGTGGTTCTCAGCCAGGGCAGTTTTGCCTCCCAGGTAGGGTGACCAGCTCATCCCAGTTTACCCAGGGATTTGACCAGTTTTAACACTGAAGGTCCTGCATCCCATAAATCCCACCTCTGTCCCAGGTGGCCTGTGAGGATTGGCCGCATATTTTGGTTGTCAGAACTGGGGCCAGGCTACTGGCATTTAGTGGGTGGAGGTCAGGGATGTTGCAGAACATCCCATAATGCGTAGGACAGCCTCTCACAACAGAGAATTATCCAGCCCACGATGTCCATAGTGCCCAGGTTGGCAAGACCTGGGTTATAGCCAGGGTGTGTGTGGGCTGGGGAGCTCACGGGTCATTCTGATGCCTTCACCTGCTGCAGGTCCACAGCACACTTGCTGTGTGGGTTCACTCTAACAGCTTCTGTCTGCACCTGACTCTTCTCAGTTGTCTCTTTAGAGTTAAATTAACAACTCTTTCAATTGACTTCAAATTCAGTTGTTATTATACTAAATGTTTTCACTTTTTATTTCAAATTTCTTAAACATTTCGTTTTTCTCTGCACTCTCTCCCAACCTGACCAGCCTTGCCATTTTCATTTCATACAAGTTCCTTCATTGTACGTCCTCTCCGCCCCTTCTTATTCTGTCACAGTTTAGGCTCTGGGCTATAAGGTACACCGCCGTCAGCGGTGGAGAAACTTCAGAAGTGTAGGGTCGTCGTCTTTATATATAGAAATGGTTGGGGATTTGGCTTTTCTGACTGGAGGAAGCTCTTCTAAGCTTGACTCCAACCCAGTGGTGCCTTTAGCCAGCAAAACTAACTTAGGCAATTATAGCAGTATTACCTGATAAAAAAGGGGGTAAACTTGCTCATGATAAACTGTCTTCTGTTTAGGAGCCTTCGAGGATACTTCATTTGCTTCTCTGACTAGTCTTGTCAATGAGAACACTCTAAAGGCAATAAAAGAAATGGGCTGTACAAACATGACCGAGATTCAGCATAAAAGCATCAGACTGCTTCTGGAAGGCAGGTATGATCCACATGGATGTTTGGGCTTTAATCTGTTTTCAGTGCCAGTAGTTCAGAAAGGAAATACCAGTATGTTCGGTTGATTTTGCACTGTGTGTTGGCTTATGTATCCAACCTGCTTTAAAGACTTATTTGCTGATGTTTGAAGAAAAGCGTTCCCTTCTGTTGTATAGCATGGTTCTTATTTCTGAGTTGGGTATCTGACGCAGGTGATTGCTTTCAGCGATGGAGAAGGTGGGGACTGGGTCTTTTGTTACTCATGTTCTGGCATTGATGCCCAAACCATATGTGGTAGTGACATGATAGGTATTCAGTACGTGACTTGTTGAATGAGTAGACTAAGTGTCTCTGACCTTTCCTGTCTTAATCCTTAGGGATCTTCTAGCAGCTGCAAAAACAGGCAGTGGCAAAACCCTGGCATTTCTCGTCCCTGCGGTTGAACTCATTGTTAAGTTAAAGTTCATGCCCAGAAATGGTAAGTCTGTGATCCACTGTCTTTGCCGTACCTCACTAGAGTTATTGGAGCGGGTATGCGCTCTTGGTGATAACTGCAGGCTGACTTTCACCACATGTCATTGTTGCCTTTGTAGGAACAGGAGTCCTTATTCTCTCACCTACGAGGGAGCTGGCCATGCAGACTTTTGGTGTTTTTAAGGAGCTAATGACACACCATATTCATACGTATGGGTTAACAATGGGGGGCAGTAACAGATCTGCTGAAGCGCAGAAACTAGCTAACGGGATCAACATTATTGTGGCCACACCAGGCCGTCTCCTGGACCACGTGCAGGTAAGAGAACACTGTTGTGTAGTCCCTGTCTTACTGTCTTGTGTGAAACCTCAACCTGACAGTTAACAGTTTTTCTTTGTCTTGTTAGAATACCCCAGGGTTTATGTATAAAAACCTGCAGTGTCTGGTTATTGATGAGGCTGACCGTATCTTGGATGTTGGGTTTGAAGAGGAATTAAAGCAAATTATTGAACTTCTGCTGAGTAAGTAGGTGGCATCTGCATGTGGTTTGCAAAGTAGTTGGAAGTAGGTGAGGGTTGTTCCTATATGAAATCTGTTAATACCAGAATTCTAACATAGCCGAGTGAGCTTGTGCCAATCAACCTTAGAGGTTGTCTGCAATGCAGCATCAAGCTTACTAGTAACTTGTTACAGTGGTTTTGCCGTTTTAGAGGTTATAATGCAAGTTACACAGTCCTTACATGTCATTCCCGTCCACATCCGCAACCCCATCTTCCTTTCCTTACCTCATTCTAGCGTCTCCCAGGTGGCAGTAGACTTGTGGCCTTCTGTGTTGTATTTGAGTTGTACATATCTTGGTTATAGTACTTGCAACATTGTAAGCTGCTCATATCTATAATAAGGCCATAATCTCCTTCATTAGAGAGTTTGTTTTTTAATGCTTTGTTGAGGTATAATTGACATAATCTGCACATATTTTAAATAAACAATTTAAGTTTTGCCACGTTTATGCCTGTGAAGCCGTCACCACAATCAAACAGTGAGCATCTCCGTAACCCTCAAGCTTCTTTGTGCACATTTGTGATCCCTCCCTTTCACCTTCAGTAAGAACAGCCCTCACCTGCTTCCAACGACTGCTCACACACGTCTGCCTCCCAGGTGACGTTGATCTGCCTTCTGTCACTGCAGATCAGTGTGTGTTTTCTAGAGATTTGTATGCATGGAATCATACAGTATAAATTTGTCTGCTCAGCAAATTCTTTTGCAAGTCATCCATGCTGTTTATATGTATCAGTAGTTCTTTATTCCTCAGTTGCACTCCATTGTATAAATGTACCGCAGCTTGTTTATCCATTCACCTGTTGATGGATGATTGTGCTATTTACGGGTTTTGGTTATTACAAATAAAGTTGCTGTGAACATTTATCTACAACTCTTATTATGGGCATATATTTCCTTTTTTCTTGGGTAACTACCTAGGAGTGGAGTGTTTGGTGTATGTTTAGCTTGTACCATTTTGCTTTCTCATTGGCAGTGTGTGAGAGTTCCATTTCCTTCTATTAAGTCTTGAAATTGGGTGGTGTTAACCCCCACCTTTGTTCTTTTTCAGATTGTTTTGGCTATTCTTGTTCTTTGCATTTCTGTATCAATTTTAGAGTCAGTTTGTCAATTTCTACCCCCTAAAAAACTGGGATCTTGGTTGGGATTGTATCGAATATAGATCATTGGTGGAAGGCAATACTGAGTCATTCAAACCCACGAATAAGGTATACCTCCATTTATTAGCTCCGTAATTTCTCTCAGCAGTGTTTTAGAGTTTTCAGTGTACAAGTTTTTTCACATCTTTTATCAGATTTATCCCTAAGTATTTCATTAAAATTTTAAATTGTTCAGATATCAGGTTCTTAGGATAGATACCCAGTAATGGGATGGCTGGGTCATAGGGTATTTCTATTTTTAACTTTTTGGGAAATCTCCATACTGTTTTCCATAGTGGCTGTACCAGTTTGCATTCTGACCAACAGTGTATGAGGGTTCCTTTTTCTCCACAACCTCTCCAACATTTGTCACTCTTGGTTTTGGATGTTTTTGCCAATCTAACGGGTGTAAGGTGATATCTTAGTGTAGTTTTGATTTGCATTTCCCTGATGATTAGCGATGATGAACATCTTTTCATGTGTCTATTGGCCATATTCATATCTTCTTTTGAGAAATGTCTGTTCATGTCCTCTGCCCATTTTTTGATCGGGTTGTTTGTTTTTTTTGTTGCTAAGCAGTGTGAGTTCTTTGTATATTATGGAGATTAACCCTTTGTCGGATAAGTGGCTTGTAAATATTTTTTCCCAATTAGTGAGCTGTTTTTCTGTTTCAATCCTGTTTTCCCTTGCCTTGAAGAAGCTCTTTAGTCTGATGAAGTCCCATTTGTTTATTCTTTCTATTGTTTCCCTCAACTGAGGAGTTACAGTGTCCGAAAAGATTCTTTTCAAACTGATGTCAAAGAGTGTACTGCCTATATTCTCTTCCAAAAGACTTATTGTCTCAGGCCTAATCTTTAGGTCTTTGATCCATTTTGAGTTTATTTTGGTGTGTGGTGAAAAAGACTGGACAATTTTCAATCTTTTGCATGTGGCTGTCCAGTTTTCCCAGCACCATTTGTTGAAGAGATGTTCATTTCTCCATAGTAGGCCCTCTGCTCCTTTGTCGAAGCATCTAGCTGTCCATAGATGCGTGATCTTATCTCTGGGCTATCAATTCTGTTCCATTGATCTGTGGACCTGGTTTTTGTACCAGTACCATGCTGTTTTTGATCACTGTAGCTTTGTAGTATGTTCTGAAATCGGGGACTGTGATTCCGCCGGCTTTGTTTTTCTTGCTCAGGATTGCTTTAGCAATTCGCGGTCTTTATGTTGCCCCATATGAATTTCAGGATGTTTTTGTTCAATTTCTGTGAAGAATGTTCTTGGGATTCTGATTGGAGATAGCATTGAATCTGTATATTGCTTTAGGTAGTATGGACATTTAACTATGTTTATTCTTCCAATCCATGTGCAAGGAATGTCTTCCCATCTCTTTATGTCATCGTCAATTTCTTTCAAGAAAGTCTTTGTAGTTTTTCATTGTATAGATCCTTCACTTCCCTTGGTTAATTTATCCCAAGGTATTTTATTCTTTTCGTTGTGATGTGAATGGGATTGAGTTCTTGAGTTCTTTTTCTGTTAGTTCATTGTTAGTGTATAGAAATGCTACTGATTTTGCACGTTAATTTTATACTCTGCTACTTTGCTGTAGTTGTTGATTATTTCTAATAGTTTTTTCTGTGGATTCTTTGGGGTTTTCTATATATAAGATCATGTCGTCTGCAAACAACCGAGAGTTTTTACTTCTTCGTTACCTATTTGGATTCCTTTATTTCTTTTTCCTGCCGAATGCTCTGGCCAGCACTCCAGTACTATGTTGAATAGGAGTGGTGAAAGTGGGCACCCTTGTCTTGTTCCTTGTCCTCAGAGGGATGGCTTTCAGTTTTTGTCCATGAGTATGATGTTGGCTGTGGGTCTATCATATATGGCCTTTATTATGTTGATGGTACTTTCCTTCTATACCCATTTTACTGAGGGTTTTTATCATAAATGGGTGTTGGATCTTGTCGAATGCTTTCTCTGCCTCTATTGAGATGATTCATGTGGTTTTTGTTTTTCATTTTGTGATGTAGTGTATCACGTTGATTGACTTGCGGATGTTGAACCATCCTGTGTCCTTGGTTTAAATCCGCTTGATCATGGTGTTATAATCTTTTTGATTGTATTGCTGTAATCGGTTTGCCAAAATTTTTGTGAAGGATTTTTGCATCTATGTTCATCAGTGATATCGGCCTGTAGTTCTCCTTCTTTGTGTTGTCCTTGTCAGGTTTGGGGATCAGAGTGATGTTGGCTTCATAGAATGTGTTAGAGAGTTCTCCATTCTTTCTCAATTTTCTGGAACAGTTTGAGGAGAATAGGTATTAAGTCTTCTTTGAATGTTTGGTAGAATTCTCCAGAGAGCCGTCTGGTCCTGGACTCTTATTTTTGGGGAGGTTTTTGATTACCTTTTGTATTCCTTACTTGTGATTGGCCTATTCAGATTCTCCATTTCTTCCTGATTCAGTTTGGGGAGATTGTAGGAGTCTAGGAATTTGGTCCATTCTTCCAGGTTGTTCAATTTGTTGGCATATAGTTTTTCATAGTATTCTCTTATGATCTCTTGTATTTCATGGTATCTGTTGTGATTTCTCCTCTGTCATTCCTAGATTTTATTAATTTGCGATTCTCTCTTTCTTTCTTGGTGAGTCTGGCTAGGGTTGTCAATTTGTTAATTCTTGTGAAGAACCAACTCTTTGTTTCATTGATCCTTTCTATTGTCTTTTTGTTTCAATATCGTTTACTTCTGCTCTTATTTTTATTATTTCCCTCCTTCTAACTGACTCTGGGCTTTGTTTGTTCTTCTTTCTAGTTCTGTTAGGTGTCATTTGAGGTTGCTTATGTGAGCTTTTTCTTGTTAGTGAGGTGAGCCTGTATTGCGATGAATTTCCCTCTTAGGACTGCTTTTGCTGCATCCAAAATGATTTGGTATGTCGTGTTTCATTTCATTATAGTCTTCCAGATAAAATTTGATTTCTTCTTTAATTTCTTCAATGATCCATTGTTTGTTGAGAAGCGTGTTGTTTAGTCTCCACATTTTGCACCTTTCTCTGCTTTTTTCTTGTAGTTGATTTCTAGTTTAATAGCATTATGATCAGAAAAGATGCTTGATATTATTTCAACTCTCTTGTATTTATTGATGTTTGCTTTGGTTCCCAAAATATGGTCAATCCTTGAGAATGTTCCATGTGCACTTGAGAAGAATGTGTAACCTGCTGTTTTGGATGAAGTGTTCTATATACATCTATTAAGTCCATCTGTCTAATTTTTCATTTAATTCTACTGGGTATCTATCCTAAGAACCTGATATCAGAAATCTCAAGAGTCCGTTGCACCCTATGTTCATCGCAGCATTATTTACAATAGCCAAGACGTGGACCAGCCTACATGCCAGAAACTGATGATTGGATAAAGAAGATGTGGTATATATACACAATGGAATACTACTCAGCATAAAAAAAGACAAAATTGGCCCATTCACAACAACGTGGATGGACCTCGAGGGTATTATGTTAAGCGAAATAAGCCAGTCAGAGAAAGACGAACTCTATATGACTCCACTCATAGGTGGAAATTAGTATACTGATAAGGAGATCTGATCGGTGGTTACCAGGGAAAAGGGGGGTGGGGGGGAGGGCACAGAGGGGGAAGTGGTGTACCCACATGACTAACAAAAATGTACAACTGAAATCTCACAAGGTTGTAATCTATCATAACATTAATAAAAAAAAAATAAAAAAATAAAAAAAAAATTTTAAATTGTTCATTGCTTGTATATACAATACAGTTAATTTTTTAATTTTGATCCTTTATCTGGCAAGATAATTATTACTACACTCAGTGGGATTGTTCAGTATGAACTTCCAGATGAAGCTAGCCTTTGGGTTTTCTAGTCAACCATACCACCTACATGTGAAAAAAATAAAATTCTTCACTTAATTCTTTTCTTGCCTGACTGCACTGGCCAGCATCACCAGTACAATACTGAATAGAAGTGGTGAGGGAAGACATCTTTGTCTTCTTCCTGATCTTAAGGGGAAAGCGTTCAGGCTTTCACCATTAAGTAGGATGTTTACCATAGATTTTTTGTAGCTGCACTTTATCATATTGAGCATGATCCCTTCTGTTCCTAGTTTGCTGAGATTTTTTTAATCAGAAATAAATGTTAAATTTTGTCAAATGCTTTTTCTGTGTCCTTTGAAACTGTCAGATGTTATTTCTTTAGTTTGTTAATATGGTAAATTATATTGGTTAACTTTCAAATGTTGAACCAACCCTGCATTCCTGGAAAAACCCCACTTGGTTATGATGCATTATCCTTTTTTGTATATTGAGTCACTGTGCTGAAATTTTGCATCTATGCTTATGAACCATCATTGGGTTTGGGGATCAGGGTAGTGACTGGCTTCAAAGCATGAGCCGGGAAGTAGACTCTCTTCAGTGTCCTGCAGAGTTTGTGAAGAATTGGTAATATTTCTTCCTTAAATGTTCGATAGACTTCACCAGAGGAGGCCATTGGGGCTGGAGTTTTCTTTATGTGAAGATTTGGGGTACAATTTCTTTAATAGATAGAGGCTTCCCACGTTTTCTCTTTCTCTTGAGTGGGCTTTAGCAGTTTGTCTGTCAGGGAAATTGTCCTCCGTGTAAGTTGTCAAGGTTGTAGACAGGGAGGTTCATGATGTTCTCCTCTTAATGTCGATAGTGCTGTCATGTCCCTGTTCTTGAAGGTTCTACTTGGAGCATTTGTAGGTGTGAAGCAATTCTGAAGATTCCCTGAAAGATTTGTGTTACCTTTATTAGCATCTGTTTCAGCACGCAGACAGACCATGCTCTTTTCTGCCACACAAACTCGAAAAGTTGAAGACCTGGTGAGGATTTCTCTGAAAAAGGAGCCATTGTATGTTGGCATTGATGATGATAAAGCTAATGCAACAGTAGATGGTCTTGAGCAGGTAATTTGTGTCAATATCTTAATTTTTTTTTTTAAAGATTTTATTTTTTTCTTTTTTTCTCCCAAAGCCCCCTGGTACACAGTTGTATATTCTTTGTTGTGGGTCCTTCTAGTTGTGGCATGTGGGACGCTGCCTCAGTGTGGTTTGATGAGCAGTGCCATGTCCGCGCCCAGGATTCGAACCAACGAAACACTGGGCCACCTACAGCAGAGCACGTGAACTTAACCACTCGGCCACGGGGTGGTTAACGTTATGTGTGCTCTGCTTCAGTGGCCTGGGTTCACGGGTTCAGATCCCAGGCGCAGACCTACACTGCTGGTCAGCCATGTGGAGGCATTCCAGATACAAAATAGTAGAAGATTGGCACAGGTGTTAGCTCAGGGTGAATCTTCCTCACAAAAAAAAAAAAATAGAACTTTAAGATTGAATCTCTTGTTGAATAAAATATTTTGCTGTAACAATTTAGCTTAAAACCTTTCATTTGTTGTCTAATTTTTAAAAATATATTCACCCAGCCTTGTTACCTTGTTTGGGACGGTGCACTTAAGCAGTGGTTATTTGAGATCTTGCTGTTAAAAACCTTTTTAAAAAAATGAATCATTGATACGCCTTGAGGGTTCTAATTAATAGAGGTGTTAATATATTACGGTTGCAAGAACTGTTGAAAACCAGTAATCTCAGGAACATGAAAAGTACTTAGTATCCAGTGTTCGCAGCCAGTAAAAGGAATCAAAAGAGCTGAAATTAGTCTTATGTTAGGAATGCTTGTTAGAATGACGGCAGTGGTTTTGTTATAGGTAAGGTGTAACAGTGCGTACGATACTTACCTTCTGTGCTCGCCATCAAATTATGTTGGTTCATGAAGCTGCAAATGTCCATTTGCTTATTTCGTATCTCCTCGTTTGAACCACTTCTAGAGGTACGTTGTTTGTCCCTCTGAGAAGAGGTTCCTCCTGCTCTTTACATTCCTTAAGAAGAACCGGAAGAAGAAACTAATGGTCTTCTTTTCTTCCTGTAAGTCTGTGAAATACCACTACGAACTGCTGAACTACATCAATTTGCCTGTCTTGGCCATTCACGTAAGTGATCACGATGAGTTTATTGAAAATAGACTATGCTTATCAAGTTATATAGATGGTGGGGTTTAAGCTATTGCTCTCTCCTCTAAACATAGTTCCAAGTAGTTTGCTCAGCATTGGGTGATTGATCCTATGTGGAGGGAGCTTTGCTCGGTGTGGAGGGGTGAGGACCACACAGGAGTAAGAGACGCCGTCCACTTGGGGAAATAGGACGTAGGCCAGAGAGTGCACTTGAAAGAAAGCAGGTTAACAACGCCACAGTCTGGGCGTCTACATCTGGCCTCCCGGACACAGCCTCCAGTGTCCAGCTCTGATGGATGTTGTGATTGGATTCTAGGGAAAGCAGAAGCAAAACAAGCGGACCACCATGTTCTTCCAGTTCTGCAATGCGGATTCAGGGATATTGCTGTGCACAGACGTGGCAGCTAGAGGGCTGGATATTCCTGAAGTCGACTGGATTGTGCAGTATGACCCTCCAGATGACCCCAAGGTAACTGGCATCCTTGGGGTTTCTCCAGAGTGGCTCTCACTAAGGACCGTGCTTACTCTCCACGCTCTCTGAGGAATGGCACATTTCACATTGAGAGGTGTCTCCCTTGGTCGTTCGGTCATGTTTTACTGTGCAGCCATTGCCACGTTTCTCTGCTGCTGATAATATTTAGGGCGTTTGCAGGACTCACAACGGGTGTGCACAGAGATGTGAGAGGCGTCAGTGGGACTTCAGTTAGGAACGTTACAGGCTTGGAATGATGTGTTAGGAACAGTAGGTGTCAGAAGGAAATACAGTTTGCTTACAGAGATAGGTAAGATTCTGTAGCATATGTGGTAAAATAAGTTACATTAAGTATTTTAAACAAACAATAGATTATGTAAATTATCATCCAGCATTTAAACACGTTTCAAAAAGCCGTTTTGAAGATGAAGCACACTTAGTAGTCATTTTATCAGATCATAGAGTTAATGTGAGTATCGTGTCCAGCTTTCCTTCGGCCTCGGTCACTGCCCTGTTACCTTTTGGGGATGGTGCAAGCGGAAGGAATGGTGGGCCAGCTTTGGGGAACGTGGTGATGGTCTGTGTGGCACAGCCCTGGAGGCGCAGCACTGCCTCATCCGGATGTGCTGACACACTCTGTCCACTACCGTGCAAGTCCCGGGAATGCAGCCCGCCACTGGTTCTGTGGAGGTCCGTGTGTAACTCAAGTTTTCTCTCTTCACCAAAGGAGGCCTCTTTGTTGCTAGATCTTATAAACATTTGTCAGGCCTTCTTTTTTCTGACTTTTGCCTCCTCTTTGGCCTCCCTGGCACAGTCTTGCCAAGTAGATTTTCCTCCACTGTGCAGCTAGCTACATTTCCCCAAAGTTGCCCTACAGCCTTTGCCCGTTTTCTCTAGAATGCCCTTTTCCTGGTTCTCTGGATTGCTCTGGTTTCAGCTAGCTGTTGCCTCTTCTGGGAAGCCAGCGCTGATCTCCTGCCCTCCCTCCTGTTCCCACAGCACAAGGGCTCATCGAGTTGTCGTCTTATCACTTACCTGTGTCCCCGGCAAGACTGCAAGCTTTCTGAGGGTGGGCCCAGGACGTGGGCTGCATCCCCCCAACCCCCAGCACGCAGCACAGGTCTGGCACTTTCCAGTTATCCAAGAAGTGAAGACTGCTTTCCTTCCTGTAGGAGTTTTTGGCCACAAACCCCAGTCAAGTCACAGGGCAGTGTGGTGTTAGGGCAGCTCTCTTGACATGGAAGGAAGGGCTAGTGGTCCTTCTGACTGGAAGCTGCAGCCTACTTAACCATGTCGCATCCGTAGAGATCCTTATTGAGAGTGAAAGGCTTCTGAACGTCGATCCCCCCTGGTATACTAATCTTCCTGCTTTTATTTTCTAGGTTCCATTAAGTGAGTTTGAGTTTTCCTGGTCCAAAATTTCTGACATTCAGTCTCAGGTATGCTCTTCGTCCCAGCCTCGGCTTCGTCCCAGCACTGACCGTGTGGTGTTTCAGCAGTGGTCATTGTCCTCCACATCTCCTTTTTCATCAAATGAGAAATTTGGACTGAGTGATCTTTTAGGTTTCTTGCTGTGCTGGTTACCACATTCATGTACTCTCTACCTTGTTCTCGTCAATAACTTCCAAGAACTTTGTCATTATTCTTACTGCAGCTTGATTGCATATATTACAAAGCTTAGAGCAAGTGTTTTTTACAGGATGGTTTTGTTCTAATATGTACACAATCTGATTGAAAAGAACTACTTCCTTCATAAGTCAGCCCAGGAAGCATACAAATCGCACATTCGAGCATACGATTCCCACTCTCTGAAACAGATCTTTAATGTGAATAACTTGAATTTGCCTCAGGTTGCTCTGTCATTTGGTTTCAAGGTGCCTCCTTTTGTTGATCTGAGTATCCTTTTCTTTGTTGCTATGAATTCATCCAGGACCTAGGGGACAAGAGCTTGATGGAGAAGCATTTGGGCTTAGTTCCTGGGTTAGTTTGTGCTCTGGCTGAAGACTGGAGGCCCAGGTGTTCATCCTGGTCCCCGTCTGCTTGTCTGCGCTAGCACAGAGTAGGCAGGGATTCATTATCCGAGTGGGGATTGCAGAAGGAATGACTTCGGCCTTAAAAAAAGACCAAGGAATTTGACTGGCAAACAGTGGGAGCCAGAGGAAGTCGTAGATTCCAGACAGAGGCACGGAGGGTAAAATTGCAGAGTTGCATGGTTAGGAGGCTTCACTGTACGGGGGGTGTGGAGGAATGGGATGTCCTGACGCTGGAGAGACCACGAGGCCTCCCGAAGTTTTTATCCTCACACGGCCAGTGATGGAAGGACTTCATACAAGGAGGGTGCAAGATCAGCAAAAGAAAATAAAACTGAAGTGCTGCCTGAGGTAAAATGCAAAGGGAGTACCTCCAGTTGTTTCTGTTGCAGTTTATAATGTGTGCTTTACTACCACATTTTCAACAGAAGCAGCTGAACCAGCTGAAGTGAGGCCTGTTGGTTAACACCCCAGCGGTACCTCCTAAGGGGACTGGAGGACCAAATTTGTGTCACCATCCCCAGTGTAGGTGTTGCGGAAATGTCTGTTGTGGTGAATACACATTGACTCCTGTGAAAGGAGGAACAGCTCCTTGGCTGGGTTAAGCATTCCTGAATCAGCTCCGAGCAGAGGTGAAAGTCATTTGTTTTGACACGGGGTATTTTTTCTTATGTTTCTGTAAACTTGCAGATTTCCTTCTGAAGTCCTTATAAATAATTGTCTTCAGTTTCATTGTGTGGAGAGAAGAATGAATATGACTGTTACACTGGGCTTAAAATCAGACCTGCTAATTTTAGTTCACGGTTACGTGGCCACTCCTGATTTTCTGGAAATTTGCTGCCCAGGCCCGAGTGTGCACGTTTTCGTAGTTCAGGGAGAGGTTGTGGTAGAGGGACAGCAGTGCGCATGCTGGTCTGTTCTCTCATAGATGTCGCATTGGAGTTCATTATCTGTGTGTTGCTTCATTTCCTTAACGGTCACCTTTAGACGTGAACAGCAATGAAGGCAAGCTTAAAAAGGGGAGGCGGTGGCGGATTCGGCTACCAGAAAACCAGGAAAGTTGAGAAATCCAAAATCTTCAAGCACATCAGCAGGAAATCGTCGGACAGCAGGCAGTTCTCTCACTCAGGACGCCCTGGCCTGCCTTCCTTCGTGTCCTGAAATGCAGTGCTGTCCTGCTCTCTGCAAGGAGTGTCTGTAACCAGGCTTTGGACCGTTCTCACGAGGGCGGAAGTGGACTTGGGTTGCAAGCACGCAGTGCTGTCGTTCCCACAGCTCTCTTTTCTCTTGGGAATACAAAACGGAGCTCAGCTTTTCTCGATTGCCCAGCGGTAAAGCAAGGGATCTTCTTGGTCTTTGTTATGATGATAGGGTATTTTTAAGTTTCACCCCCCCCCCATTTGTCACTGTTTTACTGTAGTTCTTTTGTGCCTTTCCTTCCTGGTGTCTGGAGTCTTGTGGCGTGCATTGCTGCGCCAGCCTGCTGTACAGGCCGATGACCCAGCGCGCTGGTGGCAACACCGAAAACTGTCTCGGTTGCTCTTTGCTCTTGGCTGCTTCTCGGACCTTCACAGTGGTTCCTGACCCTGCTGCAAATGCCGCCACGCCACAGGGCAGCGAGCTCGGGGGACGCCTAAGAAGCCACCTTGGGCTAAGGTGGCATCGGTTTTTATATACGCCAGGTTTTAAAACCATGAGCATTTCTCAACTTTTTTTAACATCGAGAAATGTGGGTTATTTGTCATAGTTTGAATGAAGCGCCCCTAGCAGTCCTAACATTTGAGAGGGGGCAGAATCGGATGTATTGAGCCTCATTTATACCAATATAGGCGTAATATTCTGGTTTTTGTTTGGTAACTTGGCAGAGACTTTAAAAAAAAGCAGTCACAAAGAGTGGTGATGCTCCTCATTTGAATTTGTCTCCAGTGGTTTGGACTGGGCGAGCCCTCCTAACTGCAGTTATTAGAAGGCGGGGCCGACTGTCAGCAGACTCAAGGCCCGGCCAGCCGACGGTGCTGAGCGCACACAATGCTCTTACCTTTTTAGGAAAAATTACTTCTTCCAGATCCATGAAACAAAAATAGATTCACAGTGAAAACTGGAAATGAATGGAGTTCAGAAAGAGACGATGGTTTAGTCAGATGGGTTTTCTTGTTACAGGAGCTCTTAATTTCTAGTATGTTTCATAGTTTGTTTTATTTCTAGTGTATTTTATAACTACAAAGTGCTTATAACATTTTGTAGCAATTCAAAACCAAAGTACTAGCATTGTTTTGCTGTTGTGCCACTTCATGTTCATAGACTCCTAAGTCCGCTGAGAACATCAAATTAGAGGAAAGAGGGCGATAAATAGCATTTCAGTTGGAAAAGAAAAGAACGATATTCTGCCCCTGGGCGTGACCACTGTCACCTAGGTGGACCTGTCCTAGGTTTCAGACCTCAGCTGCCGCATTCCTCATGCTTAATTACTGTTTCTCTGTCTAGTAACTTGGTTTTCTTTTTTGTTTCAGAAATAATCATGTTTCAAAAACTAGACTAAAGCAAAAGGAAGAATATTTAATCACCGAACAGAAATAAATACTGTGGATATTTTGGTATTTAACTTTCCAGTGTTTTGTATACATTTTAATTTTTTTATCCAATGAATTCATCCTCTGCCCACTATTTGTAACCAGCTTGTTTCATAACATGTCGTTTTCCTGTCATTAAACAGTTAGACCAGCTTTGTATTTCATTGATTGCTGTGCTTTGCTGACCTTGCTTAGTCAGCCTGGATTTGGGTTCTGGGTACCTGCTTGTGCCCGGCTGGCGCGCTCTGTCTCAGCATGTCCAGTACCCCTGTTTGTCTTCCATCGTTGACCTCCACCATGTAAGGCAGTCTCCAGAGATGCTGAGAAAAGTATACAAACAGAGGGTAGAAAGACTGTTCCTCTTACACTAATGGCTTCTTTCAGGTACTTGCTGAGTTCTGTGGGAGATTCTGCTGCAGGATGGTCCGGACTAGGGACATTCAGACCACCAGATGACCAACCTGGCCAGATTGAGCTGTGAGGGAGCCAGTTACTAGAATCAGATACCAGGTTGGGGCAGCACCGTCTGCAAGGTTCATTTGTACAAGGAGAAGGGATCCTTAGGTTCCTGTGCCAAAAACACAGCTCTGGTGGCATGGGTGAGGCCATAAGCTTGCCACAGGGGATTATGTGGCTTCAACTAGGAAGCTTTGGCAGCATGGACTGGGAGCCAAGCAGATCACTACGTGCAAATAGGACCCTTCGGGTCTCCTGGGCTGCAAGTGACAAGGCATCGCTGTATCTAAATTTATTTTTGTCTTAACTAGCCAGGTTAGTGTAAGTAAAGCTGAATTCAAGATGTCAAAATTAAAAGATAGTGAAAATGAGTGCTCCCAAACCAGAATGCCTGGATTCAAATTCCAGCTGTGCCTCATATATTTCTGGGCCTGTTAAATGAGTAAAACAAAGGAATAAAACCTCCTTCATAAGGTGGTGAGGATTGAATGAGCTAACGTGTGGAGTGCTTAGGAGCGTCCTGGCACAGGGCAGCCTTACTTGTTAGCTGTCAGCATTAATATGTATGCTGCACATGCCAAGTGTGCTCCCCGACAGCATCAGGTACAGGGATACATTGTAAGTCCCTAGCCAGTTTGGGCATTTGGGGGTACAAAGATGGGATTTCTGACAGTCTGGATTCCCTGGAATTTGAAAATCGGACCCAGGGTTTGGAAAGTGCTCCAGTCCTGCAGCAGCTTCCTGAGATGACTGTCAAGCAGACGAATGCAGTTCTCAAGGCTGCTCTGCTGAGTGTGAAGGCGGAAGCAACTGTCGTGCCTTTGGATACCCGTATGTGATGGCTTAGAACTGTGTTACCTGCCAGGAATTATGCAGGGGACACATGCACGTGGCCAAGCTCCTCTTACGGACCTGGCTACAGTCTTGAGAAGGTAAAGAGGTCATGAACAGTTGCAGTACTGTTTTCCACATCATGTGATAGATGCAGAATAAATATTCCAGCTACTTCTAACCCTGGAAATTCTGCTTTCTTCTTGGGTTCTGGTGGACTTCAACTGATGAAAAGGTGATGGAACTTTCTCTGCCTATAGAAGACAAGCTTCTCTCATAGGGAGTGAGTTCCCAAATGCTGATTGTGCCATGTGAGAAACACCAAGATTTCTAAAGATTTTCTTGCCCCATTTGCCCACAAGATTCTGATTTAGGCCTGTGGTGGGGCAGGGGAATCTCTGGCTGATTCTCACGCACAGCTAGGTTTGGGAACATCCAGTCTAGAATCCATCCACATACAACCTCTTTAGAAACTTTTTAATGTTCTCATCTTGCAAAGTGAAAATGCCCAACACGGGAAATGGTGATAGTGTTTAGTCATCCGCAAACTAGGGTGGCCCCGAGGAGACAGACTCCGGGTGTCCAGAGGGAAACGGCTGTGCCTTTGTGGGAAAGCCTTCTGTGGAAGAAGCACTGTCGCACAGTGTAACAACGAGGGTCCCTGTGCCTCCCCCAGGCAGACAGCCTTGAGCTGGCCCAACAGTGTTCCATTCAATTGGAATTCAGTCGACTGGTGTTGACACAGGAGATGAAACCCATCTGCCTTGGCTGCATGCCTTTAAGAAGAAAGCCATTTTCCCCTCTAGGACTCAGTATCATCTGTACATTTAAAGGGGGGTGGGAACTTTTTTAACTGGATGACCACTGTAGTGGACATTTTTTGTCTGAGGGCTTCCCAGGGTCTAACCTCTTTCCTGTATTTGGAGACCATGTCCTGGTGGGTCGTCAAGATCACTTCCCTTCAGGAAAGCAGAAGCCAGGGCAGGGCAGTGACCTAGGTTTGATGGATCAAGACATACCTGCCCGACCCTGAATCAGGTACTAATGAAACAAAAGAGCAAAAACAAGTGCAGGCTTCCTCATCCCGCTTCTGGGGGCCGCAGCATCCCGCAGCGGAGCAGAGTTGGTTCCAGCGGTGCCCTCCAGGCAGCAGGAGCTCTCCAGGCAGATTGATCTTGGGGCCTGACTTTGTGGTCCTGCCCCTACTCCTGCCTGTTTTCCAAGCCTGGTTCTCCAGCCACCGATTATCATTTCAATTAATTCCTTTTCAGTTGAAATCATTCGGAGTGGCTCTTTGTTGCTCACAACTAAGAAGAAAGATACAGGCCTGAGGGCCCTCTAACATTCAGGGATTCCTAGATTTGGTTTCTCTCTCTCCCTCTTTTGGTGGGTACGATGTCCAGGTTGCTTCCCACCGTTCATGCTCTCCTTGCCCGCAGCCTCCCTGCTCCTGAGCACAGGGAAAGTGGTTGCTTCAGAGAAAAGCCAGGACTTGAAAACAAGAAAGGCAATGGTGTGTCAAAAAACGAACAATTGGCAAGCTCACCACCCAGGAATAGATCATGGAGAAGCTGGTGTGGATCTGGAGGTATAGGAGGCAGGAAAAAGTGGGACCTTGGGCATTGCGCAGAGCTTTGTGCGGAGGACCGGCCCGGGGAAAAGGCGGGGATGACAGCCACGGGACCTTCTGGGCACCAGTTTCTGGAGTGAGGCTGAACTTGGTGTGAATCTCGGCTGCCCTACTTACTGTGAGGCTTTGAACTAGTTACTTCCCTTTCTGTGCCACAGTTTCCTCAGCTATAGAGAGGGAGGAAGTAATGCTATCTGCAGGATTAAATGCAATAACGCACGGGAAGCATTTAGCACGGAATCCGATGGTCAGCTCTTAGAAATGACAACTATTGATACTGCTACCGGGCACATCAGAAAAGGGGCGGATGGTCAGAAACCAGAAAAAGGATGTTTTCTAGAACCCACGTGCTTTCTCACGCCCTTCCCCCCACCACCAAAATGTCATAGTTTCAGACGCTTGAGGCCAATAAACGCTGAAGTGTCTCAGGGTTCCTACGGCGCCCGAATGTCCCCAGCAGAGGGCGCTCAGCCAGGGCTGAAGGTTGGCTGCGCGATGAGGGCGCTGCGCTCCCGCTCCCACAGGCGCCTCTACAGAGGGTCCTTGGGGGTTGGTTGATCTTCGTTTTGTTGGCTGAGGGGGGCTCCAGGGGGCTCCTTTTCCCCGGTTAGAGGAAGGAGAGGACTGAGTAGGGGAAGAACAAGGACAAACACTCGCCAGGCTCCATCGTCCTTAGAGCATGCGCTTAGGAGGATGCTGAGAAATGAGTCTGACCCCGGGAGGCCAGGCTTCCAGAAGGCCTTTAGATACTTTCGCTTCTCTAAGCCTCCCCGCAGCCCTGGGAAGGAAAGTATCATCCTCGCGTTAGAGGGAGAAAAGGGAAGCTCAGAAGAGGGTCAACAACAGCTCGTGAATAAATGGCCTGGCCTGGATGCAAGTGCTGTTCTGCTCATCTCCAAGCCAGGGCACCTCCACTGGCTGGCCAGCTCCAGAGGGGGCTGAGGAAGGCTTTCCTCCCTTCGCCTGGAGGGAATGCTGGTGTCCGCAGATGCAGACAGGAGAAACCAGTGAGCACCTGAGAATGTGGGCCCTAATACGGTGGTGGCGCTGCCGGCAAGGAGAAGGTTGGCCTGCAACCCTGACGCTGCAGTGGATACGCTGCCAGGGCGGCTGTGACTGAGGAAAATAAAAACTGTCAGAAACCATGTGAGAAGTGGCCTCACCTTTGTTGGGATAACGCATATTTGAGCATCTACTAAGAGTAAGACTCCTTAATGGTTGTCTAAGTCAGTCAAGTGACTAAGACTAAGAGTAAACACTCTTAAGTAACTCTTACTCTCAGTCAGTTGCAGGGGTGATTCCAATTCCATTCTAGGAGATTCCTGTGGAAGAGAGAAATACTGGGGGAATGTACCACAGAGAGAAAGTAACCATCTCCAAGGGTTAAATGGTCAAGAACAGCTTTGGGAAGGTGTGGCGTGAGGGTTGAGCCTTGAAGGCTGCTTTAACTGGGGCAGAGGGAGTGAAGGAAGGGAGAAAACCAGGTGTCAGGCACCGTGAACAGCATGACAGAGGCAAAGAGGAAGCAGCTTGGGGTCATTTGTC